TTTATCAATCTGTAATAAAAGACGTGAGGAAATTCTGTCTTTTTTAAAGACAAAAATTTTTGAGGCGAAATACCCAAAAAGAAGTTTGTAAAAAAGGAGAGTAGGTAATTTTTAACATATAGCTTAATTAATATATTTATAGCTACTCTATTCCAACAAGCGTATAGATAAATATAGATCTATTAGTGGGGGCTTTATTTATAGGAAAAACTCGTTTTCGTGCTCCTCGTTTATATTGTTATCGATGGTTGAGTTAATCTGTTAAAATAAAAACACAACAAAAGTGATTGGATTTTACATTAGTACTAGGAATTTTTAAGTTTGAAATTCGAATACTCGATATCTAACGAATATTCGAGTATTCAACTATAATACATTTTAAGTACAAGATTTCAATGTGATGATCAAAAACCATGTAAATATACAGCATTTTTCACAGCCACCCCCTCTAAATTTTCAAATGGCATCATAGCATGTGTGGCACATCGAATTTCTTGATGCCTCAATTTTATGCGAATACACAAAATAATGAGATGCTTGTAGAATAATAATTTATTTTATAAAAGTATACAGAGTGCATATAAAGATATTTGAACTTTGTGAGTTTGATAATGGTGTATTCGAGTAAGTGTTCGAACACTCAAACCTTAGTTATGACTAGACATAATTATTCGCTATTTGAATATTCAAATACTCGAGTTTATTCTAGAACTATTCACTTATTCGAGTTTAATTCCGAGTCGTAGTTCACATTAGAATGTGTTGTAAATTACGTCCCCTAAAAGATCGGCACCACTTTTTGATGATTTGAGCACATTAAGAAATCCTGATGAATGTTCAAAATGTTGATTCGGATGAATGACGAGTAGTAGATAAGATAATGAGCATAAAATTCTTTCATAAACGTACGTATCATAAGATACCGAAACTTAAAATACATTAACAAATTTCATGTAATGCTTTGTTAAATGCCATTCAACGAGAAGTTGAAACTAACATTACTTAAATTTGCGCGAATACTCGTATAACACGTGGAAACGTAGAACGCTTCTATGTAGGTGAGATTACGAAATATCAGTTCACAAAACGAAGTTTTGAGTTCCCCGTTGTAATTAATAGATTTCTTGGTTGAAATTATGTTAAAGAATTCCTTTAAAGCACGTGGTTATTACCCAAATGGATCTTACACTTTTGGTTCACTCGTGTTTTGTGCTATCTTATGCAATACTGCATATGCTATAATGAGCGATTTTGTTGTATCTAGATTCTTTTACACCAAGAGATAGTACAGGAAAGCGACGTTTGAGAACACCGAACAATCGTTCAATTTAATTTTCAGCTAATTTGAGATACATTGTTTTCTGCTTCTCTATGAGGATTTGTAATTAGCGTGATTGCACAACTTTTTATTCTGATTCTGAAATTTGCTGTTGTTCTTTGATCGTGGGTTGCACCACGCTACTACCTGCTTCGAACTTCCGGTTGAAATTTCAAACAAACCCCGTCTTTGGGTCGAGTCAACCGCCGTTTGTAATACTGGCCCCCAACCGTGCATTATACTATCGACCCTCAAGCGGCAGAGTGCCAGATCTTAACAATTATCCAAACGAGAAATCCTGGTTTGCACATTCAAATTACTTTAAAACTTTCCGGTCATTTGTGATGCTAACCAATGAAACTAGTTTGAAAGCACGTGTTTTATCTTATAAAGTGAAGCACTTTTGGATCCCACATATAAACATCTTGAACTAGACAAAACTATATATAATGCGACATAACAATTATAGTTCCTGTAAATTGCCGAATGTGTAGGGCGATTGTACCAATTTCTTAAACGGCGTTTTCAATATCGGCTAGTTGTTCGAATCGCGGATACAATCGCCCTGCTCCTCTCTCCGATTCCCTACAAATTGTATGGTGTTTATCTGTTTCTGGCAGCGTGTGAATAGGTTAATTTATAATTTATGAGTTTTTTACGCTTGAGACTATTGCAGATAGCCCAACACGTTTCCCTGTAGTTTGACGAGCGAGTAGGCCACTTTACTCATTAAAATCATCTTATCTACGGACCACTCGAAGATTACATTTCGCGTAATTTTACATCAATATGCATATGCTCGGTTTTTAAATTGTATTCTTAAATACAAAGAAGTGAAATCTGGGCTACTAGGCATTAAATAATACTCACCAGATACACAATCTACAACAACCAGGGCACCATCAGTCACACGAAGGGCAGCTGTTACTTCGGATGAAAAATCTACGTGTCCAGGAGAGTCAATTAGATTAATCAAGAATCCTTTTGTATCTTTATCACGTTGGTCGGGACTGGTGATGAAGACGAGATCTTTGTCGTCGAGTTCGAAGTACATAGAAATAGCCCTAGGAGCAAAAAATAAAATACAACCAATTTCTAAAGCATAGAGTTGACTTGAAATTGCAACATATGGTCAGCAAGACTAATCAACAAAATCATTATAAATCAACGGTTAGCAACTTTCATCAGTAGGAAGTTGTTAAAATGTCCTATATTCATATAAATTGTTACTTACGTCGATTTGATGGTAATACACCGTTCTTGTTCATCTTTTCTGGTATCTGTAAATCGAGTTTCTCCTGCTTTTGCACCGGCAATAATACCGGCCTTTGACACCAAGGAATCAGTTAAGGTGGATTTTCCATGGTCCACGTGGGCAATGACGGACATATTACGGATATTCCGTTTTTTGTCCATCATGACACGAATTTCGCCTACGGTGAAGTTCACCTGAAACAAATAAAAGTACTAAGACCACATGGAAAGATGAAAGTGAAACATAATTGGGGAAATAGTATGAAAAACGCGGGTATTGAATGTTTTAACTTGGTGAACAGATTTCAGACCATTGGCAACCATAACGCTTCACTGTCAATGCACTTTCAGTCACCAGCATGTTTATGCTCACCATATTTTTTTCACTTTGAGAAAATACTCTAAGAATAAAATACAGAAAATACTCTGCGAATTACACTGGAACGTTAAATTCTAACTAATAACTTTTACATGATGATCACCGCCTCATATTGTTGTGCAATCTTGACAAAGTTTTCCAAGATTCTCGGGCAGAAAATATCACAAATGTAAAATATCTGAATGATATGCAAAAAGAAACTGTTGCTTTATGAAATGGTCAACTTTAATTTGCTAAAAGGTACTCACCATTTTGGATGATTTCAGATAATTATCTTAGCCCAGAATAGCACGACACGCCAACTATGGCGAACTCTCGTAAAAGAACGAACGCTTGGAAGTGACGGAATGATGTGAGCGGTGAGAGCGGCAGTGCCACGAGAAGACAACCAGTCTGCCAACACTCGAAATGAAATGTTACTAGCGCAATACTATTAACCGCAGCCACCGTAACACCAATAGGCAAACAGCAAACAATTTGTGACGTCACACAAATAGGCGGTCGGTTCATGTGTGCTTATTCGATTCAGTTTTATCAAAACTTCTTGTAATAATATATTGCTTCCATTTATTTTCCTGACTGCGTGTAGTTGTTATTATATTTTTTCTGTCTTGGGTTTCAGTCAAAATGTGAACTAAAAATGTTCATATTGCTTATTTCAAATTATGTTTCGGCGAGACAACAGCGCCATCATCAGATTCTGATGATACCGCTGGACTCTTCTTGGACCCCTGTTGTTTTGGGGCTGCTTTTACTGCTGCACTAAAGCTGGCCGGAGCCCCATTTGGTGCAACAGTTGCCTTTGGAGCAGCCCCTGCAGGTCGGAGATGCTCAGCGAGCAGTTGCGTCAGCTTTCGGACTTCGCTCAAAAGCTCAGCAATTTGCCCCCTTTGCCTCTCCATTTCCTGCTGATCTCCCCCCCTGGTTCTCGTCACCGCTTATATAGTTTCCTCCAGGTAACCCAGACGGTTCTCGGAATCTCCAGCCCAGGTACGAAATTTCCCGCTTGTCAGTGTCATATTTGACAGTAAATGGGGCGCAAATGGGGCTCCCCCGAAATGAACTTCGATCCCCCCATTCCAAACGTGAGTACCCCAGGCCATTTCCGTTACAATAACTACTTGGGTACCACTGTGTTGAGTTGTGCGTTTGCGTTGATGCCGCTCTGTGAATTGGCGAGTTATAACTCATTGCGCCTCACTGCGCTGCACGTCAAATTGGGCTTGTGGCGGAATAATTCTTGAAATCAGAACTTTTACATGATATTTTTAATTAGTTGACATTTCGATGGTTTCTATCGTCGCTCGCAAATTGAGCAACAGTTTCATTTTTAAGTGATTTCTTCGCGGTTTTCTTGTTTAGTCAATATTTTTCAAAAAACAAAATTAATTCGATTATCAATTTTTTGTTTGGCGTTGCACATTAATCAGGGCGGCAACTGAGTGGAATTGGCACAAATATGAAAGGCTCTAAATTAACAAAGTTAAAATAGTGAAAGATACGTAGAAGGAGCGTTTTTCGTTCAGTTGTTGTTGACTTTTGTTAAGTTGGAACGCGAAATTTGCCTTTGGAAATACTGCAATGCGAACAGGCATTTTCTACAAAAATGTCAATAAACAAACGGAAATGGAACTGTCAAGTAAAGCATGAATCATCGGAAGGGCGAACAATTAAATGATTAAATAATACTGTTTATTCTTTAGTTCGGTGTATTTTTTTCCCGAAAAGGTTTAAGGGATGGTCAGTTTGCTATCGACAGGGGACGAAATCGGTCGATAATCATTTGAGGCGTGTGAATCGCGTTCTTAGATGGAAAATATGGAATCATTGTGGCCCTTATGGCAAATGCAGCAGTTTGTGAAAGTAGAGTGAACTTCTTAAGTATTAATGAGTGCAAAATGGATGATGGGGCGCCAGCTTGCAGAAAACTGGTAAAAATGATCTCTAATCTATAAATGTTTTAACTTCAACTGAGTTTAGTTTTCCGACAAGCAACTGAAGTTTTATGAATTTTTTATGTTTCTCTCTCTTTGCTTAACTGATTTCAAATAAGTTTGGCTTTCGACAGATTTCTGTACTGCTGTACTAAACACATTTTCTTCTATCTTTCCGAGTGGCACTACGCAGCTTTCGGTAAGCTTAGCATAATTTTGCCCCTGGTTCAGAAGAACCGCTGCAGCTATGGAAATTGAGGTTCCCGAATTCGATACAAGAAACAACAGTTTGCTGATAGTGTGGATTTGGTTTCGATTAAACCAATAATATTTATTCGTTCACAAGAAATTTTCAAAGTTTGGGAATATTTTGGGAGGCTTTGTATTTTTACATTAAGCTCACCTGAAGCTTGTCTCCAAAGAACCGTTTTATGGGTTCCAGTTTTACGTTTTTTGTTAAATAAAAGTCAAGAGTTTTAGTTTTGCCTGTTTTTTTTCTTTAATTTTCAAATCCACTGAAACTTAACGCCACCGTTTTTCACGTTGCTCAAGAACCATTTGAGCTAGACAATTTGTTTTTATATGATTGAATAGATAATTGGTAACTCGATTCAGTTATAACAACGTGTATGAGTAAACTCTGGTGGATTTGTCACAAAAAGTCACACAACATTTGAATATCAGACATTTAAATGCAAGTTTACGTCAGAATTTAATTTACAAAAAAACATCTACAGAATGTCAAGTTTCGAAAAGTAAAAGCGTCGATTTTCAAATCAACATTTACGAAGCGTGCAAAATTAAGGATTTCATGCGATTTAAACGAACTTTTTAAGGTTGAAACGAATTTTGTCGACAGTATTAGAACGCACTCTTTTTTACTGAACGCACAACTCCGAACTTTTAGAGTACTTTTAGTTTCTGAGAAATTTATTTTGAAAAACTCAGATCAGAATGTATGCCGCAATAGTTCTTTCAAATCCTGCGAAAATGTTCTTAACGATGAGTGAAGTTCCAAATGTTGGAGAAATTTAGAGCACACTCTTCTATGCCGAGCGCACAGCTCTGAACTTGTGGAGTAGTGGTGTGAGATTTGATTACTTTTGAATACTCGTACCGACTAGTTACTTTTGGATTCAATACCCGTTACTTCGGATCAGTTATTCGAGTACTCGTTCCAGTAGTTAGTTTTACGAAAGTCTTGTATCTATATATTACCTTTAATCAAACGCAAACCTACGTAATTGAGTATATGAGGTACATATTAGTTACGTACTTATGGTTTTAATAGATTTTATTACTTATATACATTAAGTATAGGTATTTGTACTTCTATCAAAATCGGATTTTGCCTTTTTAAAATTAACCACTAACCTGGTATTATTATTATATTATTTATAACTATTTAAACCAAAAACATTATAATTTGTGAGGCGACACTTTGTTTTTTTCCAATAAATAAATATATGATCTCTTTCGTCAATTTAAAAAATATTTCGAAACTCAAAAGGTAATTTTAAACTATTATCGCCCTATTTTTTATCGGAATATTTTTTGTCCAAACATTTTATTTTGCCTTGTAGTCTATTAGATTTTTAGCTGCTATCCAAATCAAATATCAACATTCTACATGCTATACGGAGAATATTAATTGTGTTTTTTTAAGGGCATTTAAAGACAGTTTTTAAATGATTGTCTATTGTACTCTTTATTATTATTGTAGATATTGTAGAGAGGCATTTAGAACCCGTACGGTTGTCAATACCTGCAGTTTCTAAATAAATTGTCGTTTTCTGAAAAATTTTTGAAAGCAAGTTATTTAACTCTGTAAAGCAAGATGTCACACATGAATAAATACATTTTGGTACAGTAATAATAAAGTAAGACAATTATCAATTTTAATAACCGTCTTTTTACAAATATGCAGTTTTGAAATAAGTTACAATTATCAAGTTACATTTCATATTATAAATGTAAAAATATAATTGAGGTTTTCCATGCGGCAACGTGCAACGCTGTTTTTAGTGATTAAAAACTTAGTTAATCTATGATTAAAATCGACCGACGTTGAAAATCAAACGCTCGATATCCATCGGTATAGGCATTCGGTACGGGTATTGATTACCAGTTGGTTTAGTTACTCTGAACGAGTACTCGGTTTGAACGAGTACTCGGTATCCATAGGTATAGGAATTCGGTACTGGTATTGATTACCAGTTAGTCGAGTTACCGAGTACGAGTAGTAGAGTATTGGGCTTTGGAGTCGAAGGTTAGGATGGGTGACTTGATTTTCCGAGAACGATTTTTGATTACTTGAATACTCGTTTGGTAGCTTGGTTCGGTACTCGTTACTTCGGATACTGATGAGTAACGAGTACTCGAATATCGATTAGTTACTTTTTTCTCACCACTATTGTGGTGGGAATGGTGTGTGGTATTTTTCGTTATAACTCATCGCGTCTCACTGTGCCGCACTTTTGAATCTATTTATTTAGACTTACACCTTTAAAATATCTACATGATAAATCTTCTTCAGCAATTCGAAACAATTAAGCGTTCATTTTTCCAAACTTGTATCGTTAAAACTAATTGTTGAAAAGATCGCTCGTTAGTCTGGTTACATAATTTATTTTCAATAAAAATTAATATGATTTAACTAATAATCACTTAATGGAGATTTTTGTTTTCAATTGATTTGCTCTTGATTTCAACCTTTAAACCAATGCATTTCTCCTTATGAGTTTCTATACGAGCAGGAAAAAATGTTCTTCCACACTTCATGCACTTTACAAGTTCTGTGAGGTGGTTTTCCCATATTCGGTCGAAAGTTCCTCTAAAATCCACTCCTCCGGATTCTAGAATCAAAAAGATATGTATTAAATAATGATCTTAAACAAGCTTTTGCTAATTTAAAAATTAATGTAAGAAACAATAATATGGCCGTTTAAATTGCTGATTCAAGTGGTTAAATAAAGGAAGCAGACCGACTTTCTTGGTTGAGCGTTTATTAAAGAAAAGATCGACAATGTTCCATAGAGTAAGTAAAATATTTATTTTATTTTCTCTATGAAATGTATTTTTCCATGGAAAAATTCGGCGTTAATGTCCATAGATACGTTTTACAAGAACTAACTTTCCGAACTAAAAATCGAAACAAATCAATTTTTAAATTGATAGGAAAATCTAAAATTTTTAAAACGAGATTAGCTTTAATAATTAACTACAAAACGCTAGATATCGACCAAACAAGCATTACACAAGCAAGTCGCGCACACATTTGTTATCAGAGACAAATAATAAATTCCTTGTCTCTCGTTATTACAGCATTAATTTCCATCACAGGCCAGATCTAAGAACATTAGTTTCTTTTGTAACATAACACACAGATAATTTATTTATAGTTCAAATTAAAATTGTTTTTAAAAAGTGATATTCTAAAATGGATTTTCCGGATCATCATAATATATGTAGATGTATGTAGTCTGTGATCTTTTCCAAAACCAAGGGCGGATCTAGCTTTCAAGTCAGTCTGACCCCCCCGGTCATGTAGTAGAAATTCAGTCAGGTCAGGTTTCAATTCAATTCCAATAATAAATGTAATTAAAAAGTATTGCTTTGTTATATGTCGTAGTAATTTTAATCCAATAAAAAAGTCAACTGTCTTCTATTGTCCCCTCACAAAACGAGTTATTACTTCCTCAACTTCAATCGGTATGGTTTTGTGAACGTGGAGAAGTGCCAGTCCAGTTAAGCGCTAGTTACGGACCTAGATGACCCCGGCAATCCTTAGGAAGATAGAATACGCACACAACCCTTGCCCTTTGAATATCATTTAGATAAAGTATATTCTAATGATGCATTGCCCTTTGGTACTATTTGACTAATTGTATTTTAATGGCTGTTTTCATACAATATCAACATCAATTAGATTAAGTATACTTTAATGATGCATTGCCCTTTAGTACTGTTTAACCAGTTACATCTTAATGATTGTTTTTGATACAGGGTGGTTTTTAAGTGCGAGAGAGTCCATTATTTCCGTTGTTGTTGAACTTTCGAAAAATAGTTTCATATAAAAGTTGTTGACGCACAAAGTGCGCACATTTTAAAAATATCTTATATGATACAGAGTGTTTCAGAAAAGCGAGGCAAGATCAAAGTGAATTTTTTTAAATAGAACTACCTATTTTTCATTAGCTCATGGATTGCAGTTTGAAACGCTGCATATGCACCGTAAATTGTTTTTTTCTGTGTTTGTTCTTGCATTTCATTTTGTAGGTGGCAACCAGGATTCTAGTTTTTCTTTGATACCATTTACGCTGCTCGCATGTGCAGATTTGTGGATTTTATATGGCGAATTTTATATAACGGCTTTTTCGAAATCATAGCGCACTTATTTTCGTATAATTGAAAATTTTTTCGGATAAGAACAGGTAACTTTAAATGGAACAGTCGAACGGTTGCTAACATTCAGGGGTCATCATCTCCCAAACCGTTACCAATGTCGATTTTTTTCAAGACAGCGGAACCTTAGCGAATACCTGTAGCAACCCACGGATTTTTGTTTTTGAAATATCGCGTCCAGTTGCGGTCCAGTTTAAGTCTCTCTAACTTCAAATTTAATTTTCTCCGAAATTATATGTCCTATAGGAAAACCATATTGTTATTAACCGTATTGAAATGTTGGTATAAATTTGACTTCTAAGAGAAAAAATTGTACATTCAAATTCGAAATTTTCCAAACTTTGAATTGCAACTTTTTTTAAAACCATTGAGTTGCTCGTAAAAATACCTAAAACCAAAAAACCGTTATGCAGAAAATGTCTACATACAAAAAGCTGTTTTCCCAAAAAAATTGCGACCTCAAATCCATAAAGAAAACATGTAGGTATAACATTAGTCGTGAACAATCGCTTTTTCGGCCTTCAAACTCTTATCGCTTTCAAGTTCCTCAACCGATTTCAAGTTTGCGAAATACGATTTGTAGACAAAATCACTTGCTTTAGAACGGGTTTTTGATGATCGGGCGTGTACCAAATCGGGCCTGTACTAAGAGAGTTACTTATTTATTCATACTGAAGGATCTGATGCACCATAATAACAGCATAATATTCATAATATGCGTGCCACTCGTGTTGCAACCGTGGCCATGGATGCCATCAGACAAAGCATAAGTATAAGACGAAGCATTCATTTTAACACGGAAAGAAAATTTAATCTAAATACAAAAAAAAAGAGAATCAATGCAGTTGGAGAAGGAAAGAAAAATAGGACCTCAAGAATAATAATACATGTTAAACTATTCTTATTCGGACTTTTAATTTATAAGGTCAAACAATGTAGATATTCTATGCATTAACATATTCAACAGTATCACTCTTATTCAGAGGGTTCATTTCTTCACCGTTTGCAGACTTGTCTTCTTCCAAATCTTTTTTGTGTTCCAAATAGAGCCAGCTAAAATATTTCACATGCATGAGTAAAAATAGTCAAACTCAACATTTGATGTGACATGAAATGTGACATGAAAATGACTTACTAAAATATAAATAACGCTGGTACTGTTAAAACTCCTCCCACAATGTAAAAACATCCAGGAAAATATTCAATTGTTAGAGCATAAATTCTACTATATAAAGGTCCATAGATCAGCGGTACCAGAGCTTCAAATATGCCAAACAACGAATTCACTTTACCCAATTCTTCAGGTAATACTAGCTTTGTTATCATAGCCCGCATTGCGATGAAAGAGGTTCCATTTAGAATTTCTACAATAGGACCTGCAGAAAAATAATTATTGCGAAACCTAAAAGTAACAGTATTTTATTTTCAACCGTTAATTCAAGTAATATTGTCTTATTTAATATCGCATATATATTTGGTTGCTACTTAATTAAAATGCAATTTAAAATTGATTGAAAATTTAAATTTGTAGTAAGTATAGGTACATTTATAAGTAATTATAAAAATATATCTTCTTCATAAAATTTACTCATGAATTAATATTGGCTGTTGTTTCTTTATTAAAATAGTGTTTCAAAAATATTGTCTTGTTGCAAAATAAAAAATATACTTGCATTAAGAAAAATTACATTCTATTCAGTTACAACCTTTTTAATCCCATTTTTTCGCGGGTTTAGTCGGAATTTTTTCTACGAATAATATTATTTTTGTTTTTGTACTTGCTACACAGAAGTGGGATCAGGTTGTTCTACTTACCCAAGTAAAAGTAAATCGGGCTAGACGCAAATGCGTAAACTCCAGACGCCATAATTTTTGTTGAGCATGATATAATCCCCAGAATGGAATCATCCAATTTTAAAAATTGCGTAAAAAATGATAGGGAAAACATAGTACCTAAAACAGTGCATTTATTTAGTCAATATTTAAACCATAATTATATGGCCACTTACGCCGACTAAACGATTAAAATAAGACGTAGTATCGTTTCTGCTATGATCAGCATGATTTAAGTATAAAAGTAGCCAGAACCTTAGCGAATACCTGTAGCAACCCACGGATTTTTGTTTTTGAAATATCGCGTCCAGTTGCGGTCCTTGCAAAAATTTTGGTATTGCAGGACATGGTCTTGGTCTTGGTCTTGTTCTTGCATACATAGTTTTGGTCTTGGTCTTGCAAGACCAATGCCAGTCTTTTTCATCACTTATAATGTTTTTCAAACAAAATTTTATAAAATGTTTAACGAGATGTATCACTATTAATTATAATTAAAAAAATACACCCCTTTGTAGAATGAAATCAACAATACTTTCGATTTAATTTTTAACTACGCGGTTAAATCCACTACGAAGTTTATGGAAAACAAACTACTTCGAACCAATCGTGAAGCTGTGCATCAAATCAACGAATGTTTTTCTTCGAGGGTTGCAACGATTCCTTTAACTCGGTCCAAAATACCGACAAGACCCGGAACATGCCCCAACGCGAATGTTCGAGGCTCGACATTGGAGCTCTAGGTCGATGAACCGTCAAGCCCCCAACGTTCGAGGGTGTTCGTGGCATCGTGTAGCCCAGCATTGACCATAGATAAAGACAAGTGGGCCACACGATGCGACGAACCGTCCAGCCTCCAACGTTGGAAGGTGTTCGTAGCATCGTGTGGCGCCGGCATTAGGATGGGTGACTTGATTTTCCGAGAACGATTTTTGATTACTTGAACACTCGTTTGGTAGCTTGGTTCGGTACTCGTTACTTCGGATGCTGATGAGTAACGAGTACTCGAATATCGATTAGTCACTTTTTTCTCACCACTATTGTGGTGGGAATGGTGTGTGGTATTTTTCGTTATAACTCATCGCGTCTCACTGTGCCGCACTTTTGAATCTATTTATTTAGACTTACACCTTTAAAATATCTACATGATAAATCTTCTTCAGCAATTCGAAACAATTAAGCGTTCATTTTTCCAAACTTGTATCGTTAAAACTAATTGTTGAAAAGATCGCTCGTTAGTCTGGTTACATAATTTATTTTCAATAAAAATTAATATGATTTAACTAATAATCACTTAATGGAGATTTTTGTTTTCAATTGATTTGCTCTTGATTTCAACCTTTAAACCAATGCATTTCTCCTTATGAGTTTCTATACGAGCAGGAAAAAATGTTCTTCCACACTTCATGCACTTTACAAGTTCTGTGAGGTGGTTTTCCCATATTCGGTCGAAAGTTCCTCTAAAATCCACTCCTCCGGATTCTAGAATCAAAAAGATATGTATTAAATAATGATCTTAAACAAGCTTTTGCTAATTTAAAAATTAATGTAAGAAACAATAATATGGCCGTTTAAATTGCTGATTCAAGTGGTTAAATAAAGGAAGCAGACCGACTTTCTTGGTTGAGCGTTTATTAAAGAAAAGATCGACAATGTTCCATAGAGTAAGTAAAATATTTATTTTATTTTCTCTATGAAATGTATTTTTCCATGGAAAAATTCGGCGTTAATGTCCATAGATACGTTTTACAAGAACTAACTTTCCGAACTAAAAATCGAAACAAATCAATTTTTAAATTGATAGGAAAATCTAAAATTTTTAAAACGAGATTAGCTTTAATAATTAACTACAAAACGCTAGATATCGACCAAACAAGCATTACACAAGCAAGTCGCGCACACATTTGTTATCAGAGACAAATAATAAATTCCTTGTCTCTCGTTATTACAGCATTAATTTCCATCACAGGCCAGATCTAAGAACATTAGTTTCTTTTGTAACATAACACACAGATAATTTATTTATAGTTCAAATTAAAATTGTTTTTAAAAAGTGATATTCTAAAATGGATTTTCCGGATCATCATAATATATGTAGATGTATGTAGTCTGTGATCTTTTCCAAAACCAAGGGCGGATCTAGCTTTCAAGTCAGTCTGACCCCCCCGGTCATGTAGTAGAAATTCAGTCAGGTCAGGTTTCAATTCAATTCCAATAATAAATGTAATTAAAAAGTATTGCTTTGTTATATGTCGTAGTAATTTTAATCCAATAAAAAAGTCAACTGTCTTCTATTGTCCCCTCACAAAACGAGTTATTACTTCCTCAACTTCAATCGGTATGGTTTTGTGAACGTGGAGAAGTGCCAGTCCAGTTAAGCGCTAGTTACGGACCTAGATGACCCCGGCAATCCTTAGGAAGATAGAATACGCACACAACCCTTGCCCTTTGAATATCATTTAGATAAAGTATATTCTAATGATGCATTGCCCTTTGGTACTATTTGACTAATTGTATTTTAATGGCTGTTTTCATACAATATCAACATCAATTAGATTAAGTATACTTTAATGATGCATTGCCCTTTAGTACTGTTTAACCAGTTACATCTTAATGATTGTTTTTGATACAGGGTGGTTTTTAAGTGCGAGAGAGTCCATTATTTCCGTTGTTGTTGAACTTTCGAAAAATAGTTTCATATAAAAGTTGTTGACGCACAAAGTGCGCACATTTTAAAAATATCTTATATGATACAGAGTGTTTCAGAAAAGCGAGGCAAGATCAAAGTGAATTTTTTTAAATAGAACTACCTATTTTTCATTAGCTCATGGATTGCAGTTTGAAACGCTGCATATGCACCGTAAATTGTTTTTTTCTGTGTTTGTTCTTGCATTTCATTTTGTAGGTGGCAACCAGGATTCTAGTTTTTCTTTGATACCATTTACGCTGCTCGCATGTGCAGATTTGTGGATTTTATATGGCGAATTTTATATAACGGCTTTTTCGAAATCATAGCGCACTTATTTTCGTATAATTGAAAATTTTTTCGGATAAGAACAGGTAACTTTAAATGGAACAGTCGAACGGTTGCTAACATTCAGGGGTCATCATCTCCCAAACCGTTACCAATGTCGATTTTTTTCAAGACAGCGGAACCTTAGCGAATACCTGTAGCAACCCACGGATTTTTGTTTTTGAAATATCGCGTCCAGTTGCGGTCCAGTTTAAGTCTCTCTAACTTCAAATTTAATTTTCTCCGAAATTATATGTCCTATAGGAAAACCATATTGTTATTAACCGTATTGAAATGTTGGTATAAATTTGACTTCTAAGAGAAAAAATTGTACATTCAAATTCGAAATTTTCCAAACTTTGAATTGCAACTTTTTTTAAAACCATTGAGTTGCTCGTAAAAATACCTAAAACCAAAAAACCGTTATGCAGAAAATGTCTACATACAAAAAGCTGTTTTCCCAAAAAAATTGCGACCTCAAATCCATAAAGAAAACATGTAGGTATAACATTAGTCGTGAACAATCGCTTTTTCGGCCTTCAAACTCTTATCGCTTTCAAGTTCCTCAACCGATTTCAAGTTTGCGAAATACGATTTGTAGACAAAATCACTTGCTTTAGAACGGGTTTTTGATGATCGGGCGTGTACCAAATCGGGCCTGTACTAAGAGAGTTACTTATTTATTCATACTGAAGGATCTGATGCACCATAATAACAGCATAATATTCATAATATGCGTGCCACTCGTGTTGCAACCGTGGCCATGGATGCCATCAGACAAAGCATAAGTATAAGACGAAGCATTCATTTTAACACGGAAAGAAAATTTAATCTAAATACAAAAAAAAAGAGAATCAATGCAGTTGGAGAAGGAAAGAAAAATAGGACCTCAAGAATAATAATACATGTTAAACTATTCTTATTCGGACTTTTAATTTATAAGGTCAAACAATGTAGATATTCTATGCATTAACATATTCAACAGTATCACTCTTATTCAGAGGGTTCATTTCTTCACCGTTTGCAGACTTGTCTTCTTCCAAATCTTTTTTGTGTTCCAAATAGAGCCAGCTAAAATATTTCACATGCATGAGTAAAAATAGTCAAACTCAACATTTGATGTGACATGAAATGTGACATGAAAATGACTTACTAAAATATAAATAACGCTGGTACTGTTAAAACTCCTCCCACAATGTAAAAACATCCAGGAAAATATTCAATTGTTAGAGCATAAATTCTACTATATAAAGGTCCATAGATCAGCGGTACCAGAGCTTCAAATATGCCAAACAACGAATTCACTTTACCCAATTCTTCAGGTAATACTAGCTTTGTTATCATAGCCCGCATTGCGATGAAAGAGGTTCCATTTAGAATTTCTACAATAGGACCTGCAGAAAAATAATTATTGCGAAACCTAAAAGTAACAGTATTTTATTTTCAACCGTTAATTCAAGTAATATTGTCTTATTTAATATCGCATATATATTTGGTTGCTACTTAATTAAAATGCAATTTAAAATTGATTGAAAATTTAAATTTGTAGTAAGTATAGGTACATTTATAAGTAATTATAAAAATATATCTTCTTCATAAAATTTACTCATGAATTAATATTGGCTGTTGTTTCTTTATTAAAATAGTGTTTCAAAAATATTGTCTTGTTGCAAAATAAAAAATATACTTGCATTAAGAAAAATTACATTCTATTCAGTTACAACCTTTTTAATCCCATTTTTTCGCGGGTTTAGTCGGAATTTTTTCTACGAATAATATTATTTTTGTTTTTGTACTTGCTACACAGAAGTGGGATCAGGTTGTTCTACTTACCCAAGTAAAAGTAAATCGGGCTAGACGCAAATGCGTAAACTCCAGACGCCATAATTTTTGTTGAGCATGATATAATCCCCAGAATGGAATCATCCAATTTTAAAAATTGCGTAAAAAATGATAGGGAAAACATAGTACCTAAAACAGTGCATTTATTTAGTCAATATTTAAACCATAATTATATGGCCACTTACGCCGACTAAACGATTAAAATAAGACGTAGTATCGTTTCTGCTATGATCAGCATGATTTAAGTATAAAAGTAGCCACGGCAGAAACGATAATTCAGTTAAAGACAATCTATGGTCAGGTGTGTTTAATCTCAGTTAAAGTTAAAGTTAAAGTTCATAGACAGCCTATGGTTAGGTCCAGTTCGGTCACACACAATTCTAATCCACATAATAAAGAATATTGAATTAATTTTGAAATAAAGTGTTTTTTAAAAACGTGAGTTTCAAATTAATCAATAAAATTCCATCAAACAGTCGGGAACAAAAAAGTATTTTAACAATTTCATTTTTCGGCGCGTGTAATAAGGATTTTAGCAAATATTTTTTTCTGAAAAAATCTTTGAAAAAGAAATTTCAAATTTGAAAAGTAGTAAAATCTTAATTTTAGTGAACTTTTAAACAAATTGCATGCAAAATATTTGTCGAAATGTAAAAAAAACTAAATAAGCCGCGTTCGCAAAGTTGAACGAAAGGAAGTTAAAAAAATTAAATTAATGATTTGCGTTTTCGTTAAAAACCATTAATAACACCGCCACACAAAACAATTTTTTTTATGTGGTGTTCAGATTTATATTCTGTAGTATTTTGACCTGCTGAATCCAAATCCGCGGTTAGAAACTTTAGATTTTTTTGGGGGGTATTTAAAAACTTTAGTGTATGCCAATCTTGTCGACACTAGGGAAAACTTATTAGAAAGCATTAATTTTCAATGCGGCCAAATAAGAACCAATGTTCAAACATTGTGGAGAACGCAACAATCTGCATGGCATAAGATTGGAAGGACCTAATGTTGAACCTACATACAAAATTGTTCAGTAAATCCGTATTCAATAAACATAGTATTTCTTCGAAAACCGTTTTGTGTATCGATAGGAATTAAGAGTGTATTTTTTTAGTTTAAAGTTAAAGCTACCTAAATACATTATTTTCGTGTATATATAAAATGTTTTCATGGGTGCTCTTTAAGAGCAAAAATGTACTGTTCAATGTAAGAAAAAATAATTAAATTGCATGAAGTATTCTAAAAGTTATTTAAAAAAAATCTTCTCAGTGGAGATTCTCTCAGATTCTCAGTGGCTCCTTTAGAGACCCGTATCTCCGTAAGGGGGCCATCTGGAAATTTTTTTATAGAAACTTGTTATGTTCTTCACGTCCCCTGTACAAAACCGAGAACATGCCCACATATTCCGTGACACCCTGTACGAACTTTTGCGTCTTCCCCTTGTAGGTCACCTAGGATTTTTTTTGAACCGACC